CTCGGAGAATTTAGTCGGTTACAGTTAAATAGAGTTGTGGGTAAGAAAGAAGACATTCATCGCTGCAGCGTAGAACGCTTGCGCGGCGCCCAATATCTTAAATGTTAAGACTCAAAATTCGACCCCCTTTGGGCTGGATTCTGGTTAATCGGGAACTTTAATAAGCACGTAAAAAAAAAAGGTCTTTCGGATTATTGCACAGCGAAGGTCAGTTTTTTTTTTTGCACCATCAATTTACTGCGGATGAGTTCCAAAGCAGTCGTTGATTTCTGTACCCGCCATTGTCCAAATTATAAGACAACAATACATGGATTCACTGAATTTTGAATGGATTCCAGCGCATGCGAGGGTTCTAACAAAAGTTCTCGGAGTAGCACTGAAAATGACATACAATTGAACTGAAAAAAATTTATTCTTCAGGGAAAACATATTCTTTGGCACACAAAACGAATCAGCCCGGTTTGACAATTTTTTTAATCTTTTGTAAAATGCATCCGCCTTCACAGCCGCCACTTTGGCGGCTGTGAAGACGGCTGTCGATGAAAATGGCGGAATTATCTTGGATAACCTGGAGGCAACCCCTGGCATGAATGCCACGTTGATTTCGAGAATTCCGAAGGGAAAGCTGGGCTACAATAAAAAAAAGGGCGCCTCTCCTTTTGAGTGGAGAGCAAAACTCTCATCAGGATGAATTTTGCAAAAGATTTTTTTTTTATGTCAAACCGGGCTGATTTTTTTCTGTGCCAAAGAATATGTCTTCCCTGAAGAATAAATTTTTCAGTTCAATTGTATGCCATTTGCATTGCTACTCCGAGAACTTTTGTTAGAACCCTCGTATATCTGCTCCATGTCATCCAAGAAAGGAAAAACTGTAAAACGATTATTTTCGTAAACTTTGATCGTTCTCAAATTTCAAATTCCACTGATAAACCTACAGTAAAATGCTTCGTAACAATAATTCATTCAGCGGGTTCACGACATCTTCAAGTGAAAATTGATAAAATTCTTTGAAACTCATCAAAAAGAAAATAAAAATTTTACGTATTTTTCCTCAAAAAACATTCCTCGCTCTGAATCTGAACAACACGTGGTCTCTTTCAACAACGAAGTTGTCTACAACAATTTTTTTTACCTCTGTACAACGAATTTTGCTGCGGTCTCTTCGAGTGCTATTATAATGTTATCGGGGTTCTCTATTCCAACGAAAATTATCAAGTTTCTTGAATTTCGTTATACAGCGAGTCCATCTATACACATTTTTCTGAGTGACAAACGAATCCTGTCAGTTTGGATCACAGGATTTCATCGAACAAAAGAGTTTCAAAATCTTATATACAATATTGTAATTTATGTTATCATCGTACCAGTATTTTGTGGAAACCTCTTATGTAATTCTATTCGGTAATTTAAAATAACCTCTTGCCTACTTGGGATGAGATCTGCCTTCTGTTCATAACACTTCTTAATTAATAAGACCCACGNGGGGGAAATGTGAAGTGCAGAGAATGTCACGATTCGAGAATTTACGCGTGAGGCTGAATTCACGCTCAAATTAAATTTGAATAACGTGGGAAATTTTTTTTTGTCTGTATTTCGTACGTGACTTACATATTTTTGGTCATGTTACACATTACGGGACCAAATTTGAGACTGAATCAAATTAAGTAGAATAAACAGACCACTTCATCAATACCTAAAAACTAAAATAGTCTCACTCGGTCAAATTTTATCATGACGCCTGAAAGCTAATGCATTTTTCGTAATTCATGCAAGATCTTCACAGGCGGTTCAACTTGTATTCTTCAGAATTTCAAAATTAAAGAATCCACTTTTCCTAGTGAAATCCCTTTTCTGTCCGTGCCCACGATTATGAAATATTGGCACGGAAGTTATTCAACAAATATTAGTAGGAAGCAGGAGAGTTGCCGAGTGAGCGATCAAAATGTGAGCTGCCTAAAACATTTTTAAATTCCAAATCAAGAAGTTTCCGTAAAATGCAAGACACGTGTACTTTTTTTTCATCGCTTTTCGTTCTCGGCTATATAGTGAATAAGCACGCGTTTCCCCCAAGTAACATCATTGACAGCACAAGCCAACATCCAAGTTTTCCAAAAGGTCGTTTAATACTCCAAAAACGTTTACACCACATGCGACACATTGTCGAAAAAAAATAATGAAAAGAATTTCACGATAAATTGACAAAGAAAAAGCCGACCCAGAAATCACCGCGGGAGGGGGGTCAGTCAATCAAGGTTCTTATCACCTTCGCACAAGGCCCGGGTTGCATCGTCTCCCGTCGCAGAGCAACCCTGACACACCAATCCCCGGAAATCCGAGTACAAACAATGCGCAATCTTGTAATGTAAGTAGCGACGTCGCATCTTGCGAACGCGCCGCGGGTTATAGAATTTACAATTCTGAGTTTTAAGCTGGGGGAAACCCGACCTAAGACCAATTAGCCCTTGAAATTATTCGTGCATTTTTTTTTTTGGTCTTTCGGATTATTGCACAGCGAAGGTCAGTTTTTTTTTTTCTTGCACCATCAGTTTACTGCTGATGATTTCTAAAGCATTCGTCGGTTTCCGTCCCCCTGGATAATCCAAAATGTAAGCCTACACGCTTTGATTTGTCGAATTTTGAATGAATTCGAGCACATTTATCTGCTTTATGTTATCCAAGAAAGGAAAAAACTTAAAAAAAATTATTTTCATAAATTTTGATCGTCCCCAAAATGTAAACTCCACTGATGAACCTTCAGTACAACGCTTTGTAAAAATAATTCATTTAGCGGGTTCACGGCATCTTCAAGTGAAAATAATAAAATTATTCGTAACTCATCAAAAGGAAAAAAAATTTTCACTTATTTTTCCAACAGAACATTCCTCGCTCTGAATCTGTACAACACGTGGACTCTTTCTACAACAATTTTTCTCTCCGTACAACGAATTTTGCTGTGGTCGCATCGAGTGCTATTACAATGTTATCGGGGTTCTCTATTCCAACGAAAATTATCAAGTTTCTTGAATTTCGATATACAGCGAGTCCATTCGTACACATTTTTCTGAGTGACAAAACGAATCCTGTCAGTTTGGATCACAGGATTTCATCGAACAAAAGAGTTTCAAAATCTTATATACAATACTGTAATTTATGTAATCATCGTACCAGTATTTTGTGGAAACCTCTTATGTAATTCTATTCGGTAATTTAAAATAACCTCTTGCCTACTTGGGATGAGATCTGCCTTCTGTTCATAACACTTCTTAATTAATAAGACCCACGGCTCGTCTAATGGAAAAAAAAATATTCATCTTCCCTCTCACCTACACACAACCCTCCAGGAACAAATTAAGAAGAAGAAAAAGTAAGCAACTTCGCAAATGAAGACGCTTTCGAAGTAATAAGACAAGAAATGATTTTTCTCGAGAAGACGAGCTCCGGATTTTTCAATATTGCAGAGGATAAAAATAAAGAGGATCCTTGTCACGATAAATACAGACGATAAAGCATTTTATCTCCAGAGGATTTATCCTGGGATATCACCACAGGTGAAACCCACTTTAAACGTAAAAACATCTGTGTCTTCACAGAGCACAAGTCAACGTCTTTAGCTCAGTATTCTTGACAACTTGACAAATGATTCGGCACATCGACATCCACTCAACACCAAATAGTGAATAAATCACCATGAATTTAAAAAAGAAAGCCGAAAGAAAAATTCCGCAGCGTAAATAGTGAAGCTCAGTGTGAAATGTGGGGGGGGGGGACTTATAAAATATTGTAGATTGTATTCTGAAACAGATAATTTAAATTCACCTGATCTGAAAATTCAATGGTAAATGCCGTAAGAAATGAGTGATTTAGCAGAGCTATTGCAGGATTCCTTTTCAATAGAAATTGAGTTTCTCGACAGATGAATCAATTTCATTTCATAATTTTCACTTAAAAAATCTAAATCGTCTTAATCTTTTTATTTACGCGCTGGATGGCTTTAATTTATCTGAAGGGCTTGACTTCATGAGGCCAAAATCCCGTCAAGGAATAAAAATGCATGAAAAATTCAATTGGACCCTGAATTCTCATTTTTCTTTCAATGTAAATATAATCTTACGGAGAAACTGTGTGTAGCAGGAGATTCTGGTCGAATTTGCCTGGCATGTTTTCCCGGCTCTTGTTTTTTCCGAGCACACGTTCATCTTGATATTTCCGTCGGGCAAGACGGATGTGTTCTGCATTTTCAACCATGGTTTGACGAAGTCTCCTAGCTCTGAATTTTTGTTTTTCAAGCACTTATAAAATTCCGCGCAGAAAAGAAAAAAAAACGGAGAAAACGCAGAAGAAAAGAATTGCTTCGGGGTAAAAATGCCGCGGAGTGAAATAAAATGACGCCGGGGGGAAATGTGAAGTGCAGAGAATGTCACGATTCGAGAATTTACGCGTGAGGCTGAATTCACGCTCAAATTAAATTTGAATAACGTGGGAAATTTTTTTTTGTCTGTATTTCGTACGTGACTTACATATTTTTGGTCATGTTACACATTACGGGACCAAATTTGAGACTGAATCAAATCAAGTAGAATAAACAGACCACTTCATCAATACCTAAAATAGTCTCACTCACGTCAAATTTTAATATGACGCCTGGAAAATAATGCATTTTTCGTAATTCATGCAAGATCTTCACAGGCGGTTCAACTTGTTTTCTTCAGAATTTTAAAATCAATCTACGTTTCCTAGTGAAATCCCTTTTCTGTCCGTGCCCACGATTATGAAATATTGGCACGGAAGTTATTTAACAAATATTAGTAGGAAGCAGGACAGTTGCTGAGTGAGCGATCAAAATGTGAGCTGCCTAGAAAATTTTCAAATTCCATATCAATTAGTTTCCTTAAAATTCAAGACACGCGTAATTTGTTCTTCGCTTTTTCGTTCTTGCTATACAGTACAGTAAATAAGCACGCGTTTCCCCCAAGTAACATCATTGACAATACAAGCCAACCTCAAAGTTTTCCAAAAGGTCGTTTAATACTCCAAAAAGGTTTACACCACATGCGACACATTGTCGAAAAAAATAATAAAAAGAATTTCACGATAAATTGACAAAGAAAAAGCCGACCCAGAAATCACCGCGGGAGGGGGTCAGTCAATCAAGGTTCTTATCACCTTCGCACAAGGCCCGGGTTGCATCGTCTCCCGTCGCAGAGCAACCCTGACACACCAATCCCCGGAAATCCGAGTACAAACAATGCGCAATCTTGTAAAAGTACATGAAAACGCAACAAGCCGCGCCCAGAAATGGACCCTTCTCTTCACATCCTGCAGACACAATGAAATCCGCACATTTCCCGTTAGATGAGGCGGAAAAGACATCCGACATGGGGAACAACTTTTCACGACGGGTTCATTCACGAACTTGCCACGGCTTCCGGAAAAATTTGTGACCAACAACAAAAACGTAACTTCCAAATGCTATTTGGAAAACCAACTTTGGGATTTGTATTTTAAATTCAAATGCCAAATTCAATTCTAACATGAAACGCTAAATTCAAATTTTAAAACCAACTCCTAAATTTAAATTCTAAAATTAATTTTTTTAAATTACTCCCAAATTCAATTCATAGTAAAAGCCATATTTTCAACTTCAAAAATACCTCTTAAATGCAATTAATGTATATTGAAAAATATCTCCCAACAGCAATTGCAAAAAATAATTCCCGAATGATTTTTTTAATTACGTTGCAAACGAAATTTTCAAATATATTTCCCTAAAGCAAGTTTTAAAAATTACTTGCAATTTCTTTTTTAACTTTCAAGTGATCGTCGGAAGACAGTTTCAAGCTGCTTGAAATAATACCCCCAAACTAATAATCATGCAAATTTTGAAAAATACATTTCATATCATTAGAAATTTCTAAAAATTAGCAATGAAAATGCGACAGGGTACAAATATATTCTTGATACAATGATTTAATTGACAGGAGTTGAGCAATTTTTACTTGAAGCATTTTATCTGAAGCTGCGTTTTTAGCATGAAATTAAAACCCAGATAATGAACACTACCGTGATCTTAATTGAAATAAGCATCAACAGAACTTCTGAATGAACCCATCGTCGAAGCAGTAAATCGTGTCCGTAGTATGCTCACCGGGGGGCTGGGGTTTGCGCAAATCTTCGGGATATTTGCACTGGCAGTATTTGTGTGCAAACAGCAAGGCAATGACCAAGGCAATCGCACCATAAGCCTTCGGACCTTGTCTAAAAATACCATCAATTCCGGCTCCAAACAATCACACACACACACACACACACACTAATTTCCCACGCCCAAAAATAAAAACGAAATCCAGGAGCACGTGCGAATAGAAGATTCGGGGTTAAATTATTCACGGGCACGTTACCACAAAAGATTTACAGAATAAATGGACGGATATATTGTTCCATCAAGGATTCCTCATCAGTCAATGATTTCTAATTATTCAGTCAAGACGAATTTTACTCGATCAGAGATTCGAGGTCTTCTGGCTCTGGAGCCGGTTGCTCGTCTTCCTGGGCAGCAGTTTCAGTCTGGGCGGCTGCGAAATTGTGCACAAAAATTTGTCGGTTTCCTTCTTTTTTTTTAAATTCGAAACGAGTGTTCGAAAGTCTCGCAAGTTGACGAATAGGCAATGCAGGCCGATGAAACAAAGTCGTCATTTCTGCCTTTCTCCTCGCAAATTTAAATATAATAACATTTCGTCACATGACATGAGATGATCGCTCATGGAGACCAAAATATACGCATGCAAATATTTTTGGAGCGGTAATTTTTTGATTTCGGGTCGGCAATTTTCCGTATTTCAATTTCTAAATTTGATCAAGGGACCTGTCACGGTCATTTATAGAGAGAATCAAATATCACTACTGTATCACAAAATCGTCAAGCTTCCGTCATTTTGAAAAAATAGAAATACTTTTCTGTCGACAGTTGAACTCAAAATTTTAACATTTTCATCAGGTCTCAATTTCATTTTTTTCCTTCTAAAAAAAAATTTCAACAGTTCCACGCAATATTTTGTTAAGCCACTTCGAAGCAGTCGTGAAATATTAGGACTCCAAAAGTCCACTAATTATTCTGATTCGTATGCATAATTAGCGCACGCGTCGTTCCCAGCTAAAAATCCTCCCGACATACGAAACAGATTCGCGAATTTCGCATACAGTTTCTTCTCGGGGGAATGGAATGTACTGTATGTAGTTTGTTTTTGTTTTTTTTTTCAAGAAAAAACTTCAGCAAAAAAAATGGAGTCATGCTTAAAAGAAGTCGTCAGAAAATTGGGACTTTTTCCGTCCACAAATTATTCCAATTGACGCGCACAAAAAAAATTACCGCGTCGTTCGCAACTAAAATTCCTTCCGGCATACGCAACAGAATGTAGCTTATTTTCATTATTATAAAATCCGCAACAACAAAAAAAGGCAGCATGTTTCATCAAACTGTAACGACGATTCGCAAGCAATTCGCAAGACTTTCAGAGAAAACCCTTCGATACAGTCGCGAGTAGGAAAAATGACAGTACATGTACATGCACATGCACATGCACATGTACAGGAGGTTACACGAGAACGAGATGTTCCTTTGCAACCCAAAACCCGAAAGGAAGACAGAGAGAGAGAGGGAGAGAGAAGGAGAGAAAGAGGGGGGGGGGGGGAAATGGGGCTTACATTTCTTGACTGAACCCCGTCGACTGCCGGTCTTCTCTTCCTCGGGTTTGCAAAAATACATGGCGGTCCCGAAAGCAGCCACCAGCACAAAGCTTATTCCCCCGAGCAAACATCTCTGGTTCGCACTCAACAACGGCCTGGGACATTCGCAACGACACGTGAGAAAAGAGAGAGAGAGAGAAAAGAAAAACAGGGATAGCAAAATAGGAAGAAGGCAAAAAAAAAAAAACAAGGCAAAGCACTCGCATCCCATTTCCCTCTTCCACGGGAAAGAAAACCCTGGCAACCTTTTCATGGCTGTGCCCGCACCTTTTATTTAGCTTTTTTTTTTTTGAGGTCGCGAAGCCCTCGGAACATTTGAAACCCGGACGACGTCAATTCGTGTTTTTTTCTTCTCGTTTTTAGAACAAGAAAGAACTGTTCTGAAAGCGGGGAAAACCCGTCTTTCATAATCAAAGACCATGGATGGGAAAACTACAGAGGCGTGTAGCATGAAATTTCTGAAATATTCAGGTAACCCCATAATAAAAATAAANTAGAACAAGAAAGAACTGTTCTGAAAGCGGGGAAAACCCGTCTTTCATAATCAAAGACCATGGATGGGAAAACTACAGAGGCGTGTAGCATGAAATTTCTGAAATATTCAGGTAACCCCATAATAAAAATAAATAAAACGCAGGAAAAAACCAGCCTATCCTGAGACATGTCACAATTTTTTCCGGTGAATCCTAATTTTAAATAATTACTTTTAAAGCAGAAAACCGACAGAGAAAGGAGCATAAATAAACTGGAGTTCTCAAGACCAGGTATTTCTCATGAAAATCATCTTGAAACAATGTTATTGTAATTTGATTTACTATGATTTATGCAGACACATCCCTAAGATTTAAAGGTAGAATACTCGATATTTTAGAATTTAGTACAGAAAAAGGTTACATTTAAAATATACGATATTAAATTTACACAAAAACCATCCAAGAAATAATAAGTCAAGACACGCGTTCTGAAACCTTCGAAATACGACCGAAACCACGAATAAATGGAGTTCGCGAATAAAACCAATCAAATTGAATCTTATGAATAAAAATCAGAAAACACGCAGGAAAAAGTTAATGCTCACACGGAAGTACTGAACTTCCTCAAGCGTTGTCTAAAAACGTCTAGAACAAATGACCTTCGCCATTTAATGAACGCCTGGATTAATTATGCCGAAACGCTGAGCAAATATACGATTACGCGAGCATGATTCCGGAACAACTGCGCCGGAAGAAATGAAACTTTTAAAGCATTTTTTAATGAATTTTTCTTGCGGTACTTTCACACACTTGACAAGAAATGAATCTCTGAAGAAATTCAATTTAACGCGATTCGCACGCCTGTCGGCTCAAATCGACCCTGATTTCAACCCCGCCATCACAAATTATCTCAAATTTCCTGTCAAGTACGGAAAATACGGGTACAGTACTCCAGCATTCAACTGTTTACATAAACCGAGAAATTGTAAGTGTCATATGAGGAGGCTCGAGGAAAATTGTGAACCAAGTCCAAATAAATTTGGCTGAAGAACATATCGCAGACAGGAAACAGTGCTGATTATGAAGTACGAAGACCTTCGTCTGACTTCCCAGTTTTTTTTTTTTTTTATCGTGCAAATTTAACCATGAGTATTTCAAACACTGTACATAAAGCAAGTCTAAAATAAATGTTCCACAGCCCGTGGTCCCCGAAAGCTTTTAGTCGGTCAGTGGGAAATTTGCGGCAGCATTAAAATTGATCATAAGTAGCAATGAAGTCTGTTATCTTCAAACAAAATTTCGGAAAGACAAAGATGCTTGAAATCATCCGATGAAAAATAAAAGTTGGCCTTTCTCCTAATAAAACTTCAGACAAAATTTCACTTGCTGAAATATTAATTTAATTTTTCGTGCTGAGAAATCTTCAAGCCCACCTTTCTAATTTTTTACCGATATTCCACTACACCTGCTTCATCGATTCTTGACTCTAATTTTTGCAACACAAAAAAATCAGAAACTTTTCAAACACCTGCCATACAGTCTTTCGAACAAAAAATTTTCAAGAGTCTGCAAAAGTTTGAAAACTTTGCCGGTCCACAATTTTTTTTTTATTTGCTGGTTCGCAAAAACTCTTACAGAAATTTGCTGAACCGTGGGCCAGAAAGGCTTGGGAACACTGTTGTATAAGATTGTGGCGGTCAAATGAATTAATGCGTTTGGCCCTTCAATATTAACAAATGCCGTAGCGCAAACGACTAAGAAAAGGCCGTCATATTTTACAATGAATTAATTCGCCTTGTTATTCCTATGTCAATAATTTCACATTAGAGTGATAAACGTGGACTCCCCTCTACAACGAAACTCAAGGGACCAGAAAAAAATCCTTTCAGAGAATGTTGTTTTAGAGAACCTCTATAGTCTATAGCATGGGAAGATAACCCAGTGGGACGACGAAAAATACCGTTATACAGAGAAATTCGTTGTAGTGAGAGTACATGGCATTAAGAACGTGAAACAAAAAATTGTCCTAAATCCTCATCAAAAAATCTTCCAATTCGTAGAAATTCCCGAAACCCCCCCAAAAACAATTTGGGGGTTTTCTTCTCCATAGAAGGAAATGGGAGCCTTGAACGTAAAAAAAAACAAAAAAGTACAGTAATACAGCGTGTAATTGGAAACCTTTCATCCGGGGGACTGTATTCGTGGTAATTCGGATGCGGAGGCATCCGGAACCTCAAGTAGAAAGGAACCTGGTTCATATCCCGACTCGGAACCATCATCATTCCGGGA